TTTAGAAAGGTGAATTAAGCGAACTGCATGTATAAGAGAGGAAAAAAGAGAAGAAATTAAGAAATAAACAGTCATTTTTTGCTTTCCCGTTTCATCAAATTGTAAGGAAAAATGTTGATTGTATACGAGAAGCTGCAGCAAAGCTAATCAGTTACTGGTAAAATTATTATTTTTTGGCTTTTAACCTCTTCATGCTTACTCTGCAAGCGCTTGACAAGAGAACAGAAGACAAAATTAGCTTTATTACTTCTATTAAACAGCATGATATGCGTTGATTATCGTATCCAACCAATTTATACGATTCTACAACCGCTAAATAAGTGGTATATTTTTAAGTTAAACACAGTAGTCATGATTAGTTGCTGAGCTAAAAATTGTGCTTCTTTTACCATAAGCTTGAAAGAAAAATTGACCTTTAGTAATGGTTTCGCCAAAACTAATAATTTTGTTCTTGAGAAAAAATGACCCTCTTAAGAAAATAAGTATGCAGGAGGACAGAGTATCTTGTTAGCTTTCTTGTTTATACAACACAAATCTTTTCAGTTATCATATCGCAAAAATCAGCCACTGTTTAATGTCCTATTCTTTGTAGTTGGTTTAAATGTCAACATATTTTTTTAGAAAACTTGTCTTCAGTGCCGTGATAAATAGTCTATCATCTTCAAGTATACAGCCATTGCTGTAAAGTAGCCTGCAGAACTTATTTTCAAAACTTTTCCTGTCATTCTCCTTTTTGCTGTCTTCTGATACAGTTATGCTGCACTAAGAAAAAGAAAATCAGGAAAAAAATATAAAAGAAAGATGTCAATTTTGACGATATGAATTTATGACATGTCTTCGTGAGGAAATTGTTACTTACGAGTGCTTTGCTAAAACGAGGCTTAAAACAGTGTGAAAATTTACAATAGTGCTCATAAAGCCTTTCCGTGTTTGGCCTTACAAGAAGATTGACCAAGTTTTTCTTCATTTAAATTTTTAAATATCATAAAAAAGTTTTAATTGCTAAAAAACATTTTAGCGTTTTTTTGTTTAAACTTTTGGTTTATAAGCGTTTTATTCATGTACATCATAAAAAACAATCTTCTTTTTTTGAGCTTTCATTGTATTGGTTGGAAGAAATTTAGCAACTATGAAGCATCAAATTGTTCTGCTGTTGATGAAGCGAACAAGCAAAAAAGAATGCAGCTTACAAAAATATTGAAGAAAATTTCATTCTATTTATATCTAACTTTTTTTGGGCAGTTGTGATATTTTTTCAGGTAACACTCCATTCGCGAATTATCTTAGCCATTAATAGCATTTAGACTATTCATAAACTAAACAAAATGCACCTACAAGTACGTATTATTGTGCGTGAAATATCTGCTATCAGTATTAACACAGATGAAAAAAAGGAAATTGTTTATGATGATTGGTTAAATAGCAGAGATTAAAACTTAGATGAAATCATAAAGCGATTAAGCAGTGACTATAGACTTTCAAGTGATGGGTTGCTTAATGCCGAGTAAACCTTAACTTGAGCTACGTAATCATGCTTTTGCTGCAGAATTTATCTGAAGCAGAGCCAAAAAAGTTTATTTAACTTTTTTTTTTGGTTGTTAAATTATTTCATTTCTTTAAAAGTTGTTCAACTGACAACAATCAATACAGGCAGTGATTCAGACGCTTCATTATGCTCATAATTGACAGCAGAATATTCTTGAAATTCTGAAAACAGTATAGAAACCTCGCTGTGTGTTAGCGTTTTTCTACAACGCTCAGCTTTCATCAGAAACAAGCAATAATTTCTCAAAAATAGATGACAAAAATATTGCTAAAATAGCTTGAACAATACAGTCAAAATCTTATGATAGTAATAAAAATCATAATAACAATAAAATTTTCGATGTCTGTTGCTGGATAACTGGAAAAAGCTGATTGCTTACTTTACAAACCTATAAAAATTTTTTTTGTTTTCTTGTACCTTTATACCTATTAAAAATCTGTTATCTGTAAACTGAGGCATCCAGGAGGTTAACAGCTTTTGAAACATGATTTTAAGCGACTTAACTAATATATTTAAGTTACGCTAGATTTCTAGACTTTTGCCACACCATCTTATACTTCAAATGCTTTAACTAGAAAAAATGTGCACTTCTGTTTTTATGCGTTTGTTTTAAATATTTCAAGAAGTTTTTTTTACTAAAAGTTTTCAATTTTGTTCCAAAAACGCTCTATCCTGTTCCTTATCGTTTCAGATGTTTGGTATGAAAGCACTTTGGCATTCAAAAACACGTATTAATTGGAAACTAAAAAAAAAATGAAGTTTCTGCAAAAGCTGACCTATAATACTAGCAACCTGCAGCATCTGTAAACTAGTCGTTCAGTTCCGTCTATTTTCATTTACCAGTAGCCTAACTTTTAAAGTTTTTTGCTTTCCTAACTGCATGAGTCCTGTTCTATGTGTAAAGTCTTGTCAACTTTCTGTGCTTCCTTCTTCTGCAGGTTTCATATTAAGCAAAGAAGAAATTCCTGCATCCTAGACGAGCTCAGGTACCTGTTGTCTCAAACATAATGTAGCACCTACTCACGCTATATAAATTGCGCTGCATTTCGTTTTTTATAAATCGAAACATTCCTGCTAATCAGAAATGACCATAGGGTACAATCAGTGAAACTAAAGAAAAACTCAATCTTTTATCACTAGTCAAAATATCTGTTTAGGGTACCTAATCGTCGACAGTCTCAACAATACTTTGCCACCAGTGTGGAAATCCGAGTCGAATAGGTAAAGTTTTCGTCATAAACGAATAGAAAAGTGATATCTCTAGTTTTTTTTTGAATATTTATATCAAAATTGAAACATAATTTTATAATATCATAATTGTCGAAAGAAGCCAAAGTAAGGAGGAAGATAACAATAAAACAAACAGAATGAGTATTTAAATAAACAAAAACAAATACAATTTGCAGAAGTAAAACGCGACAAAAAGCTCTCGTTATCAAAGGTAACATATCGGTAAAAAACATGTATAAAAAAATAATTAAGGTTTTCTTTCAATCAAGACGATTATATTTAGTATGCACCAGTGAAAGCTTGTTCATTTCTTTCTTTCTTGTTGCATTGGTCTATTGCAAGAGAATTCTAAGCATTCAGATTTCAACAGTTGCTAGATTTTAGGTGTATTTTATTGTTCCTACGTTATGTTCCTACGTTAACTTATGTTCTCCACAACTGTAGCCTAATCCTTTCCTAAAAATGATTTAATTAGCTAAGTACAAGTTCAGCTAATGTGTTACAGATGTTACCCAGCTACTATTATTATTGTCATTTTATTGCTACTATTACTGATACTATAACTGTTCTAGTCTTCGCCGTTATTGCTATTTCTATTGCTTTTAATAATAACGTTGCTTTCATTTTCTGCTTCTTACAATGTTGTTGTTAGTGCAGCTTTTACTGATATTAAAGTTTGTTTATAATGTTTTAAAGAGTCGCATATAGTTATATGCCATTTTCGCAAATAAGAAATAAAAATAACTTTTGATAATGACAGGTTGGTAAACAAAACTGGTCAATAAGTAGAGAAGAAAGCCGTTGAAGAGCTCTTATATGATCTAAATGAAACAATATAGTTAAGACACCTAGTTAAGAGATGAGCCATCTACAATAACATCCGATGACCATGTAATCAAACAAAGGGCAACGAATAAGGATGGGCGAGAGGAGGACGGGGGGGAACCGAAAAAAGTATATCAAGTATAAATCAAAAAAAGTATACCAATTCTTGCTCCCTCCTTTCTGTTCCAGAAATTGGCTGATTGAAACTAATTTCTCCTAACTGTTATCATCCAGTAGATTCCTTCATCTCAGACTAGAGTAAATAGACCACTTGTATCATATTTGAACAAACCATTAAACCACGCCTCAAGCAGCTAAATATTAACGCCAACGCTATAAATCAGAAAAAAGTCATGAAACACTAACAAACCAAACAACTTAGGACTTCATAATCGAACCTACATAAAACGTGACAACTTATTCAGTTATGTCCTTTTCAAGAAAAAAAACGATTAGTGATAATCAAAAACAAACCTATATTTGGTCTCAAATTAATGACAATCAGATTTAGTTAGTTCAAGAAAGTAACTCGGTTACATCGCCTACACCCATCATTTTTGCAACCAAAAAAAGGCGGGTCAGGAGTGGGGAAACAAAAAGAAAAGCTTTTTCTAAAAGCTCTTCTGTTTTTTTTTGTTTTATTTCAAAACTTTTGAGTTTTTTTCTGTTTTCCATCCAAATCTTTTTCTTCTAAATGCACTAATTTGTTTATTGGACTCTCTGCAACTTCCTTTCGCCCAATTTCAAACTAAAATGGGTTGTGATAGTGAGAGGTCGGTAATGATATTGTTAAACGTGCTCAAACTTCAAACACGTTGAATTTTGTAAGGTAATCAGTATTTGGAGAGCTTTGTGAGTTTTACTTAGCTTGTTACCGAGATTCAGTTTTGACTAATTACATTCACCTCCTCAGCGCGCTATTTAGATCAGTTTAACCACTAACAGAAAGCGTTCAGAAAGCGTTCTTTCTCTTTACAGTTTATTTGTGATTTGTTCAATAATGATGTGCACCTCTGTATTCCCTCTTTCTTATATGGATTTCTCATTTAGCACCTCACTCACAGTTTCAGCCCAGAGCAAGGAAACAGCAGTTTCAGGTTGAGCGGAAGTGGTATTAAAAGGGCGCATTGAGTAAAGTGCATCTTGCAATTGTTGACGAAATCTCTGTCAAATTCAAGGCAAATGCGGGGCAGAAGGCGGCACAAATTGAAGCTTACGATAAAATACTGCCAGGCTCGCACAGTAACCCTTGAGTTTGTCACATTCTACTTCGCCTGGCCGCTCACTTTAATAGACTTCGCCGCCTTAAAACTGAAAAATTTGCCTTCACCGTCTTTTGCACTAATATGTTTAAGGTCACCAGTAACAAAAGATATTCAAGTATTGCCAGTTTTTCAAGCTATGCATTGCTATAACAAGCCACTGCTACCTCATTTCCACTAACTGCATCATTGCGTTGCAGACAATCTGTCCCTACCAGATTTAGCGCCTTCCTCATTTGATCTGTACACATTAAATACCAAAAAAATTTCCACTAACAAAATCTTATTTCTTTACCTATCAAGACAACCGTAGCAACGTTAGCCATACAATTATTTTGATCAATTGCCAGTTCATCTTGAGCTTTTCTGAAGACACTGTAAGTGCTGTGAAAGTACTGCGGAGCTAATGTTTCCATATGTGTTTTAATGTTTTCCGGAGCTAATGTTTCCATATGCCAAAAAACCTTCTCCCCCCACACCTACGGCCACTACGGAGCTCTCTGATTTGGAATTAGGTTCAAAAGTGGAGTGGGAAGGTGAGGAGATTGCTCGAGCAGCAGAAAAGTGAAAATGGCTTTAAATTCAAATATTGTCAAAATTTTATTTTCATCAGTCGTACAACGTCCAGCAGATTCCTTGGTATTTTTATTAGTCTTAATTTTTCGTTCTTTTTTTCATTCCTAAATGGAGGGTATAATATTACATTGCTACGATACCTACTAAAAAAGATTCAAAAGAAACTATAGAGGCAGGCTGCTCATTCAAATCACTGCCCATAGTTGCGTGTACTGCTTATTTGTGTGGTACCACTTAAAGGCAGGTAGAAAAAATTACGGTGCGAAATTTTTTTTATGACGAGCACTTCAACGATGCAGGGAGAAAAAAAAACGAAGATAAGCTGTACAACCTGACATTTGGCATCTGTCTGATAAGTCTGATAAGCAAGGATTGTTCAAACAAAAATACTTAGTTATATTTGCAAATTACATATATTTTAGGCGAAATTCTGCTCTTCTGGATGCGGTTTTTCTTAACAGACATAAAAATAACAATGTACTCCACAACAGCGCAGAAAATACTTAGCCTCCCCTAGCCCCGCAAATGAAAGGGCCATATTTGCTGATGGCTGATTGTGGAAATCAATACAATGAAATTCTGAAAATATGCTGAACTCTCGTACTTCACGCGAAAAAATGAGCAGCAAAACTGAAAGTCTTTTTCAAAAGTTTGTATCGTAGTTTTTTTGATGGGACTGATGAACTATAAACAGCGAACGTTTCTCTTTTGAAACCGGAAAAAAGCAGCAACAGCATAAAAACTGAAAAAAATTATGAGAAAGCTTTATAGCATTCAATTTCAAGCAAACCGAAAGGTTCTGTAGGTAGTTATATCACTTTTTGTCTGATTACACATAACTCTGAATTAGTTTGGCCATTAGTGACATTTGTGATGTTCTCAGACTAAACAAAATTCATTATAAAGCACACCTTATGACGTGTTATATTAAAAAAAAATTTATTTATCAAAAATTATCCAAAACTTCTAAATATATGCATGAGAAACACTTTAAAAGGAAATGGTGGTAGTGTGGCACTGATTAAAACTTTCTTAATAAAAAACAATTTATTTTTTTAAGCTTTATAGTCTTAATTTAATTATTTGGTGAATAATTTAAATCTTGTTGTTTTGCTTTTCAGTACCCTGCCGTTGATATGTTGGTTGTTTGAATGTATATGATGCAGCAAAACCTAAAAAGTTTATTGTTATTATTTGTTGTTATTACTAATGCAGATAAGAAGAAAAAGGGAACTGTATATGACAATTAGTTGAGGAAAAGAGATTAAAATATGGACTATTCATAAAATTCTAAGTGGAAGTTATAAAGCTTTAGAAGACAATCTTTTTGGTATTGAAGGAGTTTTAACCTGTACCAAACTAACGCGTTTTTACTTGAGATTTAAATATTTAGAAGAAAGTAGGGAAGTTGGTTTTATTTTTTTGACTCGTACTAGCTGTCTTGGAAGTTAATCAGCTGGCAGCAGGCAGCAAAGCCAATGATTTAGCCATTTTGTTTTGCTTATAATTGACAAAATGACATTTTTGGAACTCTACTGAATCAGCAAACAGTATAGCTACTCATTCAATGTAAGCGTTCTTCTGGGGCTAATAAACGACATAAACACCCAATTTAGGGCTACCATTGAAAGTAAAGAAAATTTTTTATATGCAAAATGAAATGTCTGCGTGGTGGGCAACTTTTCCATGGGTATAGCTGCAAAAATATGTATATATATGTATGCACATGGTTTTTCTCCATTATCAACGACAAAAAATTTTGGTCATTACCTGACTTTTATTTAAAGTTTTGAAAATTGGTTGGTGAATCTTTCGCATTTTATATAATTTTCATTTTAGTTCTGAGATTTATTACCCCTTTTTCTTGACAATGTCTACAAGCAAAATTTAGGAAAACTGAAACATTTGAACATCTTTAAAAGTAGTTTATTGTCGTTCTGCTCAACTCAATACTCACCAGTTTAATTTTCTTTGGCGGAATAAAGAATTTGCTTAAAATTGTGATGATATCAAAAGCCAAAAAAGCCTTCCATTGCCAAGCATAGTTTCTTCTGTAGCTGCTCAATTATTGGTCAAACTTAAATAAGTTTTTCTTCTATTGCCAAATGAGAAGGCAGTTCAAGAAGATATAGCGGCTTTTATAAACGATTATGCCAAGTCTATTGAACGTCTTTAAATAAGGCAGATTACCTTGCAGATTAAAAATTGCCAAGAGGTTTGATGAAATGGAAAACTTTTCATGAAAGCCAAACAGGAAAAGATGTTTGCCAACAGTCCCAAAAAGCGTTAAAGGCTTTCCTTTTTAGCAATGACAATAGTGCCCACCGAAAAAACGTAATTACCAAGTTCAATGCTCGTCTCGGGTCACATCAAATTTGGTACACGTTAAGGAGTTCTTTTATGATCAGCAAACATTTTGATTGAGCTTGTGAAACAAAGTTGTTTGATGTGCGATCAAAATTTCCAAACAAACTTTCAGCTATTCTTTCGATACAGTTATAAGCTTTTAATCTTATTGATGAGTGAATGATCATGAGAGACAGACTATTGTGAAGTGTAGTATTAAAGCCGAAACTGAAATAGCTGTCGTTATTTTTAGATCTTTTATATTCATCAATAAACAGACAATGTTTGGTAGATTTTTTTTTGTTATTAATTATCATACATATTAGTTTGATGGTTAGTCTGAGTGCTTTTACTCTCTGTGAATGTGGTTGTTTTTCGAATACACATCAGAATGTTCTTCGCAAATCTGAATAAGCACTAAACTTTGGTGGTAAAAATATTAGACTTTTTACAGTTGTGATCATACAGTATAAAACTATTTTTTTTACATCTTCAGCTGCAAAAATTCTGACTGTAGATTTTGGTGAAATAAATACCGTCAATTTACTATCAAACAGAAAAACCTAAAAAACGGAATTAGCCCTACCTAATAGTTTCTTCAATAATAATATACGTTTTATCAATAAAAACAGTTTTGCATTTTTCTGGTGTTATTAAATTTTACTGCACTTTTTTCTAATCATATATTTTTGTTTTCTACATAAGCTAAGGCAGTTCAGTTGTGTTTATGCTAACGATCAGCAATGAAATACATAAAAAAAGATATGAAACAGTAAATATTATTTTGTGATATTTAACAGTCTCTGTTCATCCATTTTTTAAATAACAAACTTTTTTATTTTGTGCTGCTGCAGTTAACAGCAAATTAGTATCTGTTTTCAATGAAAAATTCTAATAAAGCCTACAGGCTGTGATATTTTAGTTGATCGGCGTTTAAGACAGTTGACAAATACAGAATAATCTGCGTTTGTTACTTGTTTTGTTGTTAAAATGATGTAAAAGAAATGAAAGAAAAAGAACTTTTTCTTTTAATTGAAAAAAAATTATTATAATTACTTCGTTAACCTAATATAAATTCTACCAATGTTATATATGATGATCTGTGCTCGGATCCTCATTTGCGCCGGTCATTTTACAATTGTTTAACGGCAGCGAACACCAACTACAGCAAGAGTTGAAAAAATTCAAAGAGAAGCAAAACATTGATGCTTGTTCTGCTCAAATAAACCATAGTTATTCCACATGTATTATGGTCACTAACAGCACTTTTTGACTCAATATTGTTTTTATGACTTTTGCTTGACAGTAGCTCGAAAAATATTTATTTTACGGCTACAAATGACCATACAGGCAAATATTGGATGGCAATGATAATTGGGGATGTTGAGTATAACTGCATTTGCCAGTGTGTGTACAAGTGTATGCCTATACATAAATATAACATATATATATATATATATATATATATATATATA